GCTGGTCGTCCATCGGCGATTTTTATACGCGCCGCGCACTAACCCAGACAGCTCATCAGAAGCCGTAAAAGGGCTCGCGCGGAAGGTTTCAAAAAATTACACGATGTACACGTATATACGTAAAAAAAAAAGAAGATAGAAGCTGCTGTCGAAGTAGATGAGGTCGAACAATTACATTCGCAGCACACATGTACACACACACACTGCGCGGCGCCGCGTCGCTACATTACGTTGTCCGTTGAGTTCGCTCACTGCGGCACAGAAAAGCGAATGGAAAGCGTGGAAACGCGCGAGAGCTGCTGTTGATGGTGGCGAAGGTCGATAATTGCTGAATCGGCGCAATCGGCGAAACTTCGGCCTGCGAAGTTCGTAATCAAGTGCCGGTGGCACGGTGACACACCGCAGCAGCTCCTCCGGTTCGGAACGACGATACCTCGCAATCTACTTCGCGAGCGAATTGCGCGCTATAATTGCGTCAGATTCGAGATTCTTGAAACGATATTAACGCTAATGGCCGCAACAATGTGAACCCGGCGGCATTAATTGCGGCGAGTCGCGCGATCCTCTTCAGAGGACCATCGCGAATACAATTCGGAATTCATTTAATCGCGAAAAAGGACAAAAGCAAGCACCGGTGCGCTCTCTCTTTTCGCGGCCGGTGTAATTTCCGTCGACGCGATAAAGCCCTTTGCACGCGAAAATCGCGAGATGTCTTTCGGCGCGTTTGAGATCCGCACGTAAGAGAAATTATGCGAATGCAGATTTTCACTTTGCGCAATGCCAGTCTCGCGCGATTTCCATGCGGCAGACAGGGAGAGGATTTATTCGCTTTATGCGAGTGACGAGCACAGGGGAGTATTGAAAGTTATATGAATGCGGGCAGCAGGGCGAGCCGCGTCGACGGTATCGGGAAAAATTCTTCTTCCGCTTGAAGCTGCAACTCGCCACGCTATTGCATCTCACTGAATGACGATCCGTGGCGAAAAGGAAAAGAAGGGCAATACGAACGCCCAATTAATAGTCGTTCCGATCAAGTACCATTGCGATTCTCGTTTCCTGGAGAGTAGCCGCAAATGAAGTCTAAAGGTGTGCGACGATTAAAGTACACGGCGAATCAAACTCGCGTGACTATCTTCGACTCGTCGATATCGTAAGATAAAAATATCAGTGCCCGAATACGTATCTAATCCATTATTATTATCTTATTGTTTTGGTTTTTAAATACAAGTATTTTGAGCTTTCAACATAAAATATATCTACATTGCGTATATACATATGCTGTGCGTATACGCACACATAAATCAATTGACGCTTTTACCTTACAATAAAATCGCCGTTCAGGGAAAATTTGTTGACGCCCGCAGGAAGGGAGCAATGAGAAATTGCATACAGAAGCTCTCGAGCGCTTTATTGATATTATATCACGGTGCAATTTATCATATTTTCTTTAGCGACATTATCGCTGTCGGGACTCATTTAGTTGATTATCACATCGCATATCGGCTGTGCGATGCAAAACCGCACCCCTCGCGCAACATCCAGCGTGCGATTTCGCGCTTATTGCGCAAAATTGCGGAAGCGGCGCGATAGAAATACAATATGCCGTAGCCGATTGCGAGCCGAGCGGAACAATGATAATTGCGCACCGCGGCGATCGATTTAACGAGGTGGCTGATTGCGCACCTTCGTGCCGCGCGTACATCAGCGCGAAAGAGCAGTCATCGACACTAATTAGAATCAGCGAGTCGACGTGTCGCCCGACCTTGGCTCCATCGGCGATTACCTTACGATCGCGTGTCCGAGCGCGACTTATTTCATTAGCGGATTAGCCTGATCCGTTTACTCGCCGACGACAATTCCGATCAATTACGTTAATGCGTGGCCAGTGGAGCGGCGCGCGTATCACAATCGCACGAGACGCGGCTACGCCTTTTTATTTTCCCGACGAGGGCACATTGTCCCGCCGTGGCGCGGGATTTTTCAGCGAACTCGGACGTTTTAATGAGATATCGAATTTTCGAGCAGAGGGGGCTGAAAGGTCGTCCGCTCGTGCGCATACCATCCTGCAATTATTAACGAGAACACGCGTCGACGCTTGAAATCGAATTTCGCCAATAACAACTGCTCCACGCGCAATGTTTCCACCAAATTCTCCGGCAAGAGCGCGTGACTCAATGAGTCTCAAGAGTGTCTCTTGCTGAGGCGAAGTCTCGCGTGGCAAATGAGGCGAACATTAATTTCGGCATTTCGCCAAGAGGTATCTTGCCATTTACTCCCGACGATAACGAGTTCGCCAGTTATCCGACATTTTCGAAATATCCCTTTCGTACACGCGCATCGTTCATCATATCGGTTCTCTATCAGGCCGAAATACAGAATGAAACGTTATCGCGGCGTTATCGAGTTTTTCGCGAACGCGCGAAAATTATCCGGCTTAGTCGATTCTCCTCCTCTGCCGCTCCGCGGTGGAATGAAGTCGAGCAGCAAAAATATATATTGCGCGCGGTAAAAGTGTTAGATCCTTTATGGTAGGTGGTAAAAGGAGAAGAGGAGGTCGGATACGTGGCGGAGCGGCTCAGCTTGCCCTTATAACTCGACACGCGCCACCTTGATCGCGCGCGTGTACAATATCGTTGTCATCCCTTAAGACTTACCACGGTAAATCGGATGTCGCCAACGCTACATAAGAGAGACGTCAGAGAGCATCGGAGTTGAACATGAAGCTAATTAATAATTAATCTGCACACACAGAGAATATTAACATAGGAATGTCTAATTATCTGAAATCAGGGAAAAAGAAAACCTGAAACACGTGACATTTTCAAGATGTTCTTTCGTCTATCCGATTCTCCGGATAGAAAACGGGAGAGACTCGTAAAATTTTTAAACGGAACTTACACAATACATATCCGTGAAATATCGTACCAATCTTGAGTATTCGTCAAGGAATTGTGTAATTTTACTTCATTTCTTTCTTTTCTTTTTTGAAGTTACGACAATTAAAGTGAACATTCTTACACGTTATGTTTCCACATAATTCAAGAATCGTCCTTTGCTCTTTACATTTTGCATCTCTCGCGTCTTACCCTCAAATCAATTATGAAAATTTAAATTATTCATCAGTTTAATTATGTTCGTGCCCACTTCGTTTTCTCCACGCCGTATTGATCTTAATCTTGCTCGTCGTTTAAAACCATCCCAATTAACCTTTATGGCCGTCGTCGCCCATCACCGGCGCGACAAAAAGGGTTGATTATAAAAGCACACGCAATAACGTACTTTGTGCTCTTTTTTACGGGAAAAGTTATAAAGAAGTTTAATGAACGTTAACAAATTACGAGGAGGTTTTCCTCGTGGATCTGGGAAATTCTCAGTTTGATAATATGCAAAAGATACAACGTTATAACGATACAAAGTTATTATTAAATGTTTATTAATTATAAAACGATGTAGCCACGCGCAAGCATATTGTGAATTCTGTTTGTGAAAAAAAAGGAAAACGAGAACGCAGTTGTCCGTTGTATTTCACGAGAATTTCGAACGGAATATTCGCAATTAGCATGTAGAACAAAAGTTCTACATCGTATTCACATTCCGCGTGTATCCGCACGTCATTCTTCCCACCAAGGAAAATAATAAAAAAACTATCATTAAATTGCGACGCCAAAGTTCTCGGAATCGCACCGAAATTGCAAGCGCGCGAAAGTACATACAGAGGGAATCGAAATGAATTAATCATTAAATCCTCATTAATACGTAATTAATTCAACATTGTGTGTAACGTCAATCATTGTATTGCCGCGCAATGGCGCTATCAAAGGCGTATACGTGAAATCATTGAAAGCCCACGCACACTGTGTTTACTGTGTGTCATACCTACAGCATAAATTTCGTTCGTGCCCCGACTAAATAATTAATTAGACAATGCTACGAATGAAGTTTCCACAATGCAAGGTAAATGCCGCGGTATTTTAGGTGAAGTCCTACGCTGTGTTACGATTCGTTTCGAGACGCGAATCGCGGATTTCGGAATGCATTAAGTCAGTAATTCCCGACTGAATTATTCTTGAAACGCGATATCGGACTTTATTGCATCGCAAGTAATTTCTAAGCTGCCAGCACTGCGTAAGATGTTAATTAATTTCTCACAGTGCACGTTCGCTGACGCGCCTTTATGGTGCTCTTGTCATATATTTATCATTATTTATCATATTTGTCATATATTATTGTAATTATTGATATTGAACACATGTATTCTCTTGACAGATTATTCTTAGATGAAAGGAAATGTGGAAAATTTCTGGGAATATATCAAAGTTTCTTGTACTGTTGTTGTCATGCTTTCATTTGAAGTATCGTTGCTTGTATCGGAGAAACTTAAATATTAGTTTTTTCCTAACGAATATTAATGTTTTAGAATTAGATTTAATTAACTTGTTGTTCTGGACATCCTTATTGTTTTGTTCTTTAAATACGAGCATTTAACTTTCAACATAACATATACAGAGTGTCAAATTCAAGGTTTTCTTCTCTCTCAAAAGTCTGTAAATTTTATCTGAAACATATTTATCTGCCGAGCTGTCTTACAGAGATATTTAGCTGGCTTGTTTAAAAAGGGAACACTTTGTATAATATAATATTATACTAAAAAAATATTTGCACTCACTTTGTTTTCTTTTATTTGCGTATTTGATAATTACTGTAGATTAATAATCATACAATAAAGCACAAAGGTATTGCTTTGCCAAATAAATAATACGAAAAAAGACCTTTGTGCTTTGTTGTACGATTGTATAATAATAATATAATGTAAGTAATGATCAATAATATGCCTGAAAGTGCATATTATATAGAAAAACTACTAAATCTGTATACATGATTGTCCTGGATTTCTCAAATTTCTTCACTCAGTGCTCTTTCTTGCATACTTTGTTGTGTATTATATCGTGTAGCAAGTTGCGAATACGTCGAAGTTAACAAATGGCGGTGATCTGTTTCAGAGAGCCTCGGCGAGGCTGCAGGTGACGATGCTGGCGTTAAGGAACTTCAGGAACTTCGCGACAAGTATGAAGGCAAGTTAACTGCATCCCTCTACACCGGAACACTCTGCGTCGCCGCCATTGCCTCGTTGATCGCCCTGGGTGCTCTGTGCTTCACCGACTATCGCGTAAGTATCGCTGTTGATCCTCCATGACTTATTGCTGCTATGAAGTGACAGTCCGTGCTCTTTTTTGCACCGAACAAGTATTAGTCGTCGGCTCAAGTTGTCACGAAGAGAAAGCAGCCGGCAGAGCTACCATGTGTTTAAAAATAATTTTTGTTTGTTGAGAAACGAGGTTTCTAATACTTTGGAAATTCAAGAATACACAAGATTCTTCGCGTTGAAGTGCTTCAACTCGCTCAGAACTTACGTCACAAATCTGTTTTAATTAGATTCTCGATCGAATTCTTGACGTCCGCGATCAAAGAGAACATGTTTAAGATAATTTCAGCTACAGCTCATAATTAATTAGTATATCCAAAAATTAAACATGTCGTTGGAAGTTCGTCGCGCTCCTCACGTGTAGAAGCTCCAAAACGATGATATCGACGCGATAATTAATTTTCAATTAAAATTCCATCTAGTGTGTCTCTTTATAACGGATCGATACTCGTTATAACCCTTCGGCAACGTACATGTGTATTCTTCGGTAACCAGTTAACAAGCCGCGTCCTGAAATTGGACCGCAGGACGTTCGTTAGCGAAGCCAAGAATTAATATTGACATCGGAGGTGCGAGGAGCTCGGCGGATGCGCTGTTTAAATCGATAGATCCGTGAAGAATATGTGACGCGCCGCGGATCCAACACCAGAGTGTTGGCATTTCCAAATCGCTCGCGATTAGACTCGCGACGAAATCGATGACGCGGTTTATCGGAAAGTCCGCCCTCTCACGTTTCCGCAATGTTGCGACGTAACGCGGAAGCGAGAAGAATCACGGGCGAGAATTTATTTCGCAATTCAAAGACAAAAAGTTTCATAGCAACTTCGAGTCCGGAAGAAGTGAGTTTTGTTCGCCTGCTTGCAAAAAAAGACAAAACGTAATTCGATAAGCTTGTTACATTTGTTTCGCCTGGTATCCTATTACGAGGCAATCCGGCTTTTCTTTAATTAACAATTTAATTCCTTGCGAAATTGTATGTCTGAAAAATTACAGACGTAGAATTCATTGCTTTGAATGTGAATGTTAACAGTTAAATATTTTATAGAAAGTCCGAATATAATTATATCATGAATTGCAGGACACTATAACAAAATAATTTATTCCATACTGAGAGAAAAAACATCTGAAAAATAAAAAGATATTTATTCACCGGGTACTAATGACATTGTCTTAAATCTAAATTATCTTATTTAAATTGAACAAACAACTACGTCAGTATAGAGCTAAGTTTCTAAGAAAATGCATATTTTTTTATTTGAAAATTTTGTCTTGGTAGTACAAGTAAATATTAGTATCACAATCTCGCGAATAAATATTTTCTATTTTTTAGATATTTTTTTTTCCGTATAGACGCGCGATTATTTCTAGAGTTCGGAGAAAAGATCGCGAATGTGGCTAATCCAACGCGTACAATATTCCTTCAGGATCTGTCCCACATGATCGATCTCCTACCTGTGTCGACGTTGACGACCATGCTTATTGCCTCTTTGACACTTCTGGTAGTCACGCAATTGCCCTCGGCTATGAGCTCCAGACGGTCCAGGATTCTGATAGGTCTAACGTCCTCCGTCGTGCTCGGTCTAGGAATTCTAATATTAAAAGGCGTCCTGCCTCTATTCGTGTGCGTCTTGTCGGTAATCGCCATTCTGCCTAAGATGAGGTTTGAGGCGCCGCTCGTCATCGGTTGCATCCTGGTGTTCGTGCACATCTCCAGAAGATTCGTCTTCGACGATCTGCCGGACTACTACGACGTGATTCAGGTAAATGAACCGAAATTTGAACAACAGCACTATGTTCATTGACCGGTCTGTTGTAGTGACGCTTTCCGACAATCGACTCAAGATAAAATTACCGTCTACTTGAATCGCGTATTTAACTTGTTGGTCGCATTTCTGAAATCTCGAACCAAATTGGCACTTCCGCTTCTTTACATTACAGCTAATGATTTTCGTACAATGTATATTTATCAAACCTACACGAATGGCATATTTGGAATATTCGGGAATTGTTATATTCTTCTCAACAGATCGTTGTGGAAATTGTGTTCCTGCTGGCAGCGATCCTCGCCGGCCTGTACTACAGACTTTTGACGGCGTCGGCTCTTCGCAAAACTTTCTCTGGGACGAAAACCGTGATCGAGTCGCGGATCAAGCTCGAATGCGAGAGGGAGCAACAGGAACAATTACTGCTGAGCGTTATACCCGCCTACATCGCCGCGGAGGTAAGCGATAAAAATGTATCACGCGAATGGATCATCGCGCAAGAATAGCAGGATCAAATTAAAATCTCAGTTACGACCTAAGGCATTCGCAACTAATTTCTTTCGCGCGAACGTGCGTCAATATATATGAGATATAATGAGATACAATGAGACCGGCTCCTTGTGCCGGGTCCCGCGACGCTCCATCGATCGAGTGATATTTAATTAAATTATCAAGTGCCGGTGCTTCAGCTTTCGATTACATCTATTCGCGTAGATATTAGGACCTTAACTTAGTTTCCGCCCGCAAATGTTAGATGGCAATGCAAACAGTTCTAGTAGTCATTACTAACGAAACAGGTAGTTTGTGATTAATTTCGACATTTCTCGATAACATTCAGTCAGCATACACAATTATTTTCCTAAACAACAATTTCTTTTGCTTTGTGAAAAATGGAACGCGATAAAGTGTTTTTTCGACATGTGCTTTTGCACTATTTTGATTTGAAAAAA